ATTTTTATAGAATCTAAAACCTATTACTATAATATCTTAATATAAAAAAATCAATAAATATTTGATGATTCTTTTTATACATAGAATTCAGCTAATTATACTTTTGTCCATGTTGATATTACCTACATAAATCCCTCCAGTCAACCATAACTTTTATTAAAAATTTTACTCCGAAACTTCTCTTGAAGATTTATCCACTTATCATTTTCCCTTCTGTATAAATTATAGCAACCGCTATTGTCTTTAAACGTATCTTCTTATTAATAACAGCCTCCAATTTATGAATTTATCTAATATTAATTTGTATCAATCTTTTTTTGTTTCTAACATTTTTAGAATTAAGTAAAAATTAAATTCAATTTCTATTAAGTTGTAATTAATACTATCGATTTAATCAAAAGAATTTATAATAACATATATGGATTAACTATTTAAATAAATCTGTTCTATTCATTAAATGGAGATTCTTTTTTTTAAGTTAAATGAGAGTAATCCTTCAAAAAGAAAGTTATGCCTCAAATGCTTAACTGATTAAAATTAAGAATTATTATTGATTTCTGAATTTAAAAATCATCTATCATCAATTTTAGATCAAATGATGAAGCTTTTATAAAAAAATTAAGAGAACTCTAGCGCTGATACCACAAATAATGATTATTAATGGCTTCATTAAGTTTATTAGAAGATTTCAAATACTACTTGTTCTAAACATGGATAAAATTCCATTATAATAAATTCAAAATTTTAAGAAACTAATAATAAATTATGATTTTTTTATAGCCAAACTTTAAAATGGGTATATCATATTTGATGAACTTATTAAAATATTGTTAAAAATAAAATATTTAGATGATGCCTATGAGATTCAAGTTAAAAAATAGAAAGAACTGTTAATAAATTATAAAAATTAAATTGAATACAATATTAATAAATTTGTTTAAGAATGATTAACTAATAGAACTTATTGGAAAATCTTACTTTTAGTAGAAAGAATATATAGAATAAATACCAAATGATGATATTATTTGATGATTTAATAACTTTGTTAGACTTAAAAAAAATAAACTAATTTTTAGGAAATCAAAAATATTATAGAAGACAATATAGAGAATCTATGATAAAGGGAATAAATTTAATATTTATAATTATGTACAGATAAATTACTTTTGGAGAATTCAAATGAAGCATATGATTTTAACTAATTTGGAAAAACCGGTAAAATTGGTATAAGATTACCAAAATTCAAATTTAAAAAAATAGCATTATATGTACAAGTAGGAAGGTGTGATGTCATTGAAATTAATACTTCTTTAATACTTTTTGATTGCCAAACTGATATTAAAATGTGTAATTTAAAAATGGTTAGATAAAATAAATTTACAAATTTCATGGACATGATTAGATGGTTAGATATTGTATATAGTTTAAGTTTGAGCAAATCAGGTTAAAAAATTATCTCTTGTGGAAAGGATGGATAACTGTTAATATTATAACAATCCTAAAGTATTTAATAAACTTGGAATGTTGTATAATCTATTACAGAATAATGTGGAAGAAGAATACTTTTTGTTGGTGAAAATCGTTTTA